CCACAGGCAGAGGCGAAAAAGAAGGTATTCAAGGGTGACCGAACTGGAGAAAAAAAAGCTTCTAGAGGAAGGCACTGAAGGGCGAGCCCGCACAAGAAGGAGGATAAATCAAACTAGAATCTGCGCTACCTTCCAGGACTGGGCTCAGAAAGGAATGTCCGAATATCACAAAGATAAGTAAAATTTTATGTTACTTTGCAAACTTAAGTTAAGCTTTCATTCTTACTGCAAGTGGCAGATTTCAAGAAGTTTTACCTCATGTGAGGTCTACCTTTATCGCCAAAAAGGCGAGAAACGAGTTGTTACCGATTTTGGTATTATGTTTCTCAATTACTCGCGCGTAAAACTAAAGTTGATGTATAATAGGAATGTGTAAATACTTAAATATTGTAAAAGTTATTGTATAAATTTTATTTAAAACATTCTGGCAAGAAAGAAGTTTTAGTCTGAAAGACTTTTTTGAAATGTAGTATTTCAATGTAGAAGAATTGGCACTTGCTTGGAAAAGAATAGAAGTTAACAATGTACTACTAATGTATGTTTTAAAATGCGTAAAATTAACGGCATGTTAATATGTTCTTATATACAATGTGAACTGTTATTTTAAATGTTAAGAAATACTATGATATGGTAAAAGTGAAAGTAATGAAAAAAAAAAAAAATTAAAAGTTATTTGTGTGACTGAAAAAAGACCAAATTATGGTGAATATGTGTTAAAGGTTGAATGGATGTAGTTAGGCTCTCTGACGCTACACTTCAGAGTTAGCCACTTTCAGAATAGTACCTCAGGGTTTAGAGTTGAAGATAGGGTGTGTTACGAGGTCTTGTTATGTTGAATTTTAACACGTTAGTGTTTTGATTGTAGGAGGCAGTGTTGAACACGTATACATAAACACATTCGTGTTTGGTGTTCTTTTACAACACATGTCAGAGAGCACGGAGAGAGATAATTAAAATAAAGTCATGAATGAATAAGAATGTTAAGAGAAATGTAAATATTTATGTTACTTGCCATTTCATTGTGTAACATTTCATTAAACTAGTTTTCCTTCCAGATCTCTGGAAGGAACCAGATTGAATAAAAGCTCCTGTTTTAGATGCAGTACAGATGAAAAATTGGTTGTCCATGGAGCTGATATTGTAAAACAATTTTTTTTTTGAAATTCTAGTTTCTAGTGAGAAATGTTTGTAAAAGATTGGCCTCGCGTTAGATTCTAGAGCTAAAAGTTTTCAACAAGGTCGTTTTAGACCTCAGTTTCAAACTAATTAACTCTGGCGGGAAGTATGTAAGGATCTTAAGTTTTACTAACGTTTATTTTTATTTTAGATCTTTACTATCACTTCTTATTTTCTACTTCCGGCCAGAATTAAAAGCTTTAACTTATTTATACAAATTTGTCTGGCGAACGCCAAGTACTTAAGTTGTGGCTTTTTGCCAAGCGAGAGAGAGGAAGGAGTTAGTCGAAGCAGGCCGCTTACCTTAGCAGTTTTACTCAGTTGCTGGTTGCCTTCCAGGCCAGAGGTTTTAATCCTCGTGATAATTTTTAAACGTATTGTAGTGTTAACAGTTCTCTGTACTACATACGGCTTCCTGTTAATATAAGGCCAATCTTCCACGTAGGCCCTTGTTTATTATTCAAAAGTTAAGTTAGAGTTTAATTAAATATTTTTATATTCTTACGTTCAGACCACAAGTAGTTGGTCTCTGTATTCCGAAGTACGGAAATTATTGTAAAGAGTGAAAAATAAAGCGTTTCGTATACCCTTCCCGTGTATCTTGTCTACTTCCCAGATTTACTGAACATAGCTTTAGTAAGCTCCCTGTTCCGAGTCAGGTCCTTGCATGTTCCCAAAGAAAGTAAGGCGGAACATTGAACCTGATAGTGGAAGGTGAAAGTACTGTAGATGAACAAAACTGGCTCGTGTCACAGGCTATTCTGAGGGTATTTCAAAACCAAATTAGCCTCTTTTCTACGAAACATGTGAAACCACCTCTCTTTCTTTTCACACCCCGTTTAAATCTCACCAGTGTTTTCTGTATTTTGTTCATTTCCAGAAAGGGTATCTTTTTGTGTTAAGAGAAACAAAATGCATGAAAATACATAGTAGTTTGTCGGGACCGTTGCATTATTTCGTGTTAACCAATATTTCGCGTTAAACGTATTCCACTGTATACAGATGTGTTTGGACTATGTATATACAAATTTTTTAAAAGGAAAATTTATAATCCTTCCAAAAATTTTTGAGCATTATGCTGCTAAAAATTGATCAGTAAATATATAAAGAGAAAAAAAATTTAGAATCAATTTTTCAGAAAGAATAAAAATTGAAATTCAAATTAACTTATAAAATCCTGTTTAGACTAGTAAAATCTTTTTTAATTGGAAGATATTTTTAATGACTTTACTCCCCCCCCCCCCATTTTCCTTTATTACTGCTGTTTGATAAGAGGTTCTAGTAAAGTTATGTGTTAAAATTATTTTGAACTTTCAAAGATTTTCCACTGCAGGATTTTAATTTTTTCTACATTTTTAAGGGCATGTTTTCTTTCCTTCTTTCTTTTAAGATTCTTTTTAGATTAGAAAAATATTTTTAAATCGGGGAAAACTCAGATAACTGGCACTTGGCGCAATTTTTTCCGCCATCTTGAATCGGCGAAAATCGCCAAATCCTCAAAAGGATTTTTTTGACGCCAAGAGGGAAATGACGTAAAAAGACGCTTTACAAAATTTCTCTCTTGAGTCCGATATAGGGAAGAAACCCCGTGCTAGGCGAAAATTGCCTGAGGCTAAATACAGTAACGTGTTTGCGTTAAAAAAAGGTAAACAATGCACATAGAACTAATTTAGTTATTGATGTGGTTAAGTTAATCTTCATACTTTTTCACCTTAGTATTTTAGATTATGATATATATAACTCCAACATTATTACCATTTATACTTCTCTTTTTAATTCTGACCATTAATTTCTACAATTATCCACAATAATAGTTAAATATGTTTAAAAATATGGTCTTCATATAAATGCAGTAAAGATCATGCAAATGGAATATTTATCACGCAAGTAACGTTAAAAATTTTAAAAGATCAAATGTACATGAATTTACTATTTTAAAAAAAATAAAACTTTCAGTTCACACATTACAAAAGAAATGTAATTCTGAATTGCATAACTGCAGGGAAACAAGATTTCTAACAATATATTTCGGTTATGTATTTGTTGCAAATATGGTGATGCAAAAATTTCAATATTTATATTCATTGCCATTAAAAACTAACATGAGTAACAACACAGCAGAAAAATCTAAGAAGAAAAATCTTATTCTCAAAGATTTGATGATAATTTTAATTCACTTTTATTTGTTTTTCTGTGAAAGAATTTTGCTCAAGTTTTGTATAATAGTTTAAATTTTTTACTGATACGCCGAACTTCCCAGCCCACCAGCGGCCGAGCGGTAAAATCGCTGAACACTGGTAGTTCGGTCCGAGGTTCGAATCCCGCGAACGGGCTGGCTGCATGGGCGTTTTTGTGGTTTTCCCTATGTGTAACGTGTATACGAGCCAGTTTCCCTTAGAAAGTCCTCCACGAAGGCATCCCTCCCCTTAGGCAGATATCCCTCGAGGCTTTGCCATAATCACACACACACACATCGAACTCCCCAAAATCCTCTATGTAAAAAAATCAGTGAAATATACTTGACTTAGAAAAGTAGCGGAATATTGTTTCTTTAATATTTTACATTAACTTATTAGCATTTCAAAGTCTTATAAGCATTTTATTTCAATATAAAATTGATTAGGAGGGATTAAAAAATTGCTTGTATGATACAGAGTGTTTGTCAGCGAGAGCAGTAAAAATGTTGCACACTAGTAGTTCGTCTAACGGATTTCCATCATCTTAAGCAAATAACCCGCGAGTGCTTTTCTCATTCTAAATAATTCGTGTCAGGAATACAATTAATTTATTTTAGAAATTAATTCCTGTTTGTTAAGGCTAGATAAATAACACCCATATACTTAAATATTATGTAAATAATTTTAAAAATGTGCCCATGCGAACAATAAGTTAGAAAAAGACCATATATTATCTACTTTGTTGTACTAATTATAAGGGTAATTAATTTATAAGTTCATTAAGTTATTTAGAAAATAATTTATAAGGTAATTAAACGGCAACTGGGAGCGCAGTATTAATATTATTTAAATAATTATGAATTAATTTGGTAATACTTAGTTACCTAATTTTTAAATCATAAATAATTTTAATAGTAATTTTATTTTCTAAAATGTTTTTAGTATAGCGAAAATAGCGGTATATGGCAACTTGAAGCCCGTCTCCGGTAAATAATTATGATTTTAATATTTAGACGTCTAATAGATTTTAATAGTCTAATAAATAATAATATTTTTGTCTAATAAAATAATTAAATTGCGAATGATCATACGGAACAACAAACAGCATATGAGCGTACGCACCACGTCTGCTGACAAAGTTACGTGACCAGCACGACGATTCATCTACAAAGTCACATGACAGCCAAAGCAAAGTATTTACATATAGAAAGAAAATATCCCTTCGCTTTTCCCTTTCTCCCTAGCGTAGTGAAGATATAAACTAGCAACCTAAACTGTCCTCCCACTTTATGGCGCGTATCGCCCAAGTTGGCGAACGCGATTTCAGGAAGTTCGCCAAGTGCTGGTTATCTGAGTATCCCCATTTTCTGAATTCTTATTACAGATGCAATTACATAAATGTTAAAAATTATGCAATTACATAAACGAATACACTTTCAGACAATATACTTAATACTGTTTACAAGCGCATGCCAAAGTTCTGTTTATGTTACTTCTCGCCCTTCAGCGCATGCTCAAGAATTACCATCCAGGCAAAACTAGTCGATTTGCCCATGACGTCAAAAATTCGAAAAGTAAGGTAGGGTTTGGAAATACGCTGCTCGGGAGAAGGACATGAAAAGCTATTCATTTCATTTAGATTAGTGGCAACAGTACTTTGTCCTCAGTTTTATTGTGGCAGACGAGCAATTTTGTTTGTAATGATGTATAACTTTGTTTCAGTGTCTAATGCCACATTGATGTTCAAAGTTTTGTAAATGATAAATGAAATTGTTTGGTTTTAAAAAACGCTCCTGCTTTGAAGCATGAGCTGCTCCACATCAAAATCCGCTCCGTCCACTCCGACAGAGCAAGCCAAGCAACTGCACACTAATGTTTCGGTAAAGAAAAGGGGGAAACGAAATAGCAGAGTACATTTTCCTGTAGATGAAATGCTTGTAACGTGTTATTTAGAACCACCTGATCCATGGTCTAAAGGTGAAAGCTTATTTGACTTATGGTTATGTATATTATTTCACATAATACGCTCAGTTATTATATTCAGACGTAATATTAACATGTCACAATAAAATCTGTTATGCAAAGTTTATTTACAAACATTAGCGGTCTAGTCTTGATCAGATTATGAAATCGCGAAAAATGTTTGGTCCACATTTAAATCCAGTTTTTATATTATTATCTTTAATGAAAGTAAAAAGTACAATGTTAATTGAATTATAGGATTAAGTCTCTGAAAAGCAAAACATACGTAATTCAATCGAAAATTTTAAGCGGTTAATATTTATAAAAATTTTAGGATAGGTTTTTAAGATTCCAAGTATTTTATTTCAAGTAATATGTATAAATTTGAGATTCAGTTCTTACATATCAAAAACATGCCATATGTTGATATTATTTTCATACATGATCTTCAGTATGTTTGTCATCGGCATAAGATATTTATTATACCGTTTAGTTTTTAAAAATATAAAATAAATTATCTCATGGAGGTAAATTACAAATAAATATAATATGAAAATTCTTGACTTATTGTGAAAATACTTTAAGCATTTGTGTGTTATTAGTAATCAGATCATTAGTAGATCTGAGAATTTCTCCTCATATTATACAGTAAATAAGAACTTTTATTTACTGTAATGTTAGAATTCTTTAGTATTATATTTGCCGATGAGAATTTCACTCTTTAAGAAAAGAAAATGAAATGACTTTTTTTGTCTTAATAATTCATCTCTACTGTATCTCTTTTCTTTAATTATAATTTATTGTTAATAAAATGAGGGTATAGTTGTACTTATTTGCAGTAAATTAAATATCATCATTTGAAGCTAAAATTATGTGTCTTTTTGTTATATGTTACTATGTGTTATGTATTTGCATATGTTCTAGATATCATATATATCAGTGATCTCAAACTCCAGTTGCATATGGGTCAAATAGATGATCTGAAAACAACTAGTAACCCTTTATTTAACAAAATGGAAAGCTTTGTATTAACCAAATAAATATTTTAAATAATATTTAAATTTTACTTACTAAATGTTTACAGAAACATTTATGAAAAATAATAATGTTACAAAGGAAAAAATTCAAATTTATATTTACTTTCTCTCTGAAGGCTGAAGTTTGGTAAATGCAAGAGATTTTTGCAGGTAACACTTTGTAATTTAAATTTATGGAAATACAAATATTAAATACTGAGACTGTCATTTATTTCCGATATTTCTAGTATATTTAATTGATCATTAATAATTTAAATTAAAAATGAACAAATTATGAAAACTTCTTTAAGTTTTCAGAGAAAGTTTTCCACGTGGAACAGCACTTGAAAATAAATAATAACAATTTAGTCTATTTCTTTTATTTATTATATTTTTCTTCAATGCATAAATAAAAATACATGTAAATAATTTTAAACTTTTTTTTTTTCTTTCTTACTGCAGAGGCCCACCAGCGGCCGAGCGGTAAAGTCGCTGAACACTGGTAGTTCGGTCCGAGGTTCAAATCTCGCGAACGGGCTGGCTGCATGGGTGTTTTTGTGGTTTTCCCCATGTGTAACGTGCATACGAGCCAGTTTTCCCTTAGAAAGTCCTCCACGAAAGGCATCCCTCCTCTTAGGCAGATAGCCCTAGTGTGCTTTGCCATAATTAAATACACCACACCACCACCTTTCTTACTTCAGCATGACTCTTGATGGCATTTAGATTCTAATAAAGTTCGTAGCTTTAGAGAGAAATTATTCATTATGAATTTTAGGTGCTGATTGGCCAGTTAGGTTCTGTTCTTATTACTTTTTAACTGTGGGAGGAAAAGGTGTTTACATATTCACAAAAAAAAGTGTGCACAATTCTTGATGCAAAAATTTATAACTCAACATATTAACTTTTTGACAAGTACGAATAAAAGTTACCAAAATCTGTATCTTTAAGTCTTTGAATAAGATTTATGTCAAAATTAATAAGCTCTATTTATAGATTTTCTGTTGTGTTATTTATGTTTATTTTTAATGGTCATGAAAGTAATGTGAACTTTGACTTCATAAATACTTAAAATCTAGAGATCTTTGTAATATATTTGCAATAAATACGTAATTGAATTGCATTTGTGGGCTGCATAAAATTGCTTCGGGAGCTGCTAGTTTGAGATTACTGATATACATGACGTGAAATGATTGTCTGAAATTTAATGAGTGCTGGGTTTAAGAATAACCAGCTAATCTTTGGAATATGGTAACAGGTAGTTTGGCGACATTTTGGTAAGGCAAAAAAGGTTACTAGGTTGGACTTTAGCAATAATCTGAGTACACAGTTCAAATCACAGATTATTTTGTCTCAGAGAAATGAGACATGTCATGTGACATTTTCCGGAAAATTCCGATTGTGATTTTAGCTAATAAGCACTTAGAAACAATTTCGCTGCTAAAGTGCAGAATCGCCCACTTATTTGTTTGGTGCTTTTTACAAGAGTAAGAAGAATTGGATTTTTGTCAATTTTCTTTGACTTTTTAAGTGAAAATAGGTCGATGTGTACATGGATAAAGTCAAGCGTGTGCGCAATGCCATTTTTGTGCAATTCTGGGATGTTTTTTTGGTTGATCTTTACATTACAGTAACTTGGCGAAAATTTGGCGACCAACTCCCCTACAGCAACCCTCTATTTTTTTTTTTTCCCCGCCGCCATTTTGTCTTCACGAAAGTAAAGGACATGTTTCTTTTCTTCTTATCTACTGAACACTTCTTCCAACAATCTACTAGCCGAATTACACTTATGCTAGAAATTTTATCAAACAAAACTGCTTAATCATGACAAAGATTCATGTGCGACAAAATTCGGATGAAAGTGCACAATACCATACACTGTTTGCCGCGTTTTTCAATAATTAACACATACGCGCATAAACCATGTACACCCACACGCCGACCTTATTTTTTACTTAAAAAAAAACATCCCAGAATTGCACAAAAAATGGCATTGCGCACACTCTTCACTTATATCCATGTACACTGCTTTTTTTTTTCTCATAAATTCGAAAAATTTCACACAAAAATACATGACAATTTTCTCAATCTTTAAACCCGGTAAAAAGAACATATATGAAATTACCTGATCGCGAAAAAGTATTTAACCTTTACAAATATGAACATTTCCACATATAAAATAAATAAAATATCCAAAAACTTTTACCTCTAAATCATCTATTACATTATACATGTCACCAACGAATTCATACATGAAGCATTACAAATATTTAGTATCAAATATTTAAATTATTTCCATGCACGTTTATTTCAACTTAAACGTAAACCAAATTCCTACAAGCATAAAATTCACAAAATAACTATCATTTCATTAAAATATAATTAAATTCAAAAACACCACTTAAAATATACATGAGCACATACATTCAATTAATAAAAATTACCTTACAATCCTAATTACTTTAAACTAAATCATTGCTAATAACAATTTTCCCAATAATACCAAATTCCTTTCCACCTTACATTTCCAACAATGCATAAAAATAATTAAAAATACTAACTTACCTAATCTCCTTCAGAATCTTCATTACGTGGCGGATACACTTTTCTTCATTCTCTTTCAGAATCTTTAAAATCATACTTATCTTTCAAAGCAAGATACCAGGTAAAATAAATAACATAATAAAACATGTTTATTCTCTCTCACACAACCTTAAAAAACATTTCTTACTATCCTTTTCAATACCACTAAATACCCATTTCGAATTCACTTTACTTACGGCCATGGGATCCAAAAATTCACAAACACTATTTCACACAACACAGAATAAAGCCAAATACAAAATTTCCAGATTTTTTCCCGATTTCCCCCTTTTCCGATTAAAGAACCGTAATTCGTCCATTAATATCACATGACATATCCCATGATCTCTCATTTCCCCCACACAAAATAATGCGTAATCGGAACTCAGTACTGCTCACATTATTGCCAAAGTCCCAGGTAGTAACCTTTATCGCCTCCAAAATGTCGCCAAACTACCAGTTACCGTAATGTAAAGATCAACCGTTTTTTTAAGTGAAAATAGGTTGACGTGTACATGGATACCGCATATGTGCAGTTCTTAAAAACGTGCGAAGCAGTGGGCGATTCTGCACTTTCTCACAATTTCGCACCTAATCTTCGTCATGATTAAACACTTTTGTTCCATAAAAGTTCTAGCATAAGCGTAATTCGGCTAGCAGATTGTTGGGAAAAATGTTCAGTAAAAAAAAAAAAAAAAAAAAAAAAAAAAAGCCTTTACTTTGTGAAAACAAAGCTCACCCAGATATACCCTGCTTATGGAGCTCCTTTCTTATTGTGTAGGTGCTCACAGGGTTTGTGAGTGCAACATTCAATTCATCAATCACTTTTGTTGCTGCAGTCCTCTTATTTTTCTTTGTAATCCTCTTCAGTGATCATCTGTCATGATCACTCAACATACATTGTTGTTCATGGTGTGATTTAATGGATGCAGTTTTTCCTATATGAGTTAAAATACTGTGCCTCTTGAAACAACACTTCAGATGTCCTGATTACGGAAGCACCCTTCGTACGAGCCCGAACAATTTGCCCACATTAAAATTCATTTAGCTCCGACATGATGCTCTCATAATTGTGCAGAACACTGTCTTTTTATAACAAATAACACTTGCAGTGTATTGAGGAAGTTATACAGGTGGCATGGTAAGCAGACACATCAGTGCCACAAACAGCTTTTGCAAGAATAAACCTTTCAGTTCAAACATGCATTTTACGAGGTGTTTTCATATTTTTGTCCAATACCTGTATATTCACCAATGGTCAAATGGATTCTTAGCAGTTACTCATAAAAGCCTCTGTTCCTGAAAAAAGCAACTGGCCTCTTTGAACTGCACTAACCATTCTATAATAAAATTTTATCTACATTTCATCATAAACTAAGGTGTTTGCTCATTTTTTTAGACAATTTTCATTGTAATTAC